TCTTTTATAAAAATCTTTTTGAGACAAGGTCTCTCCATTATACAACTCTAGCTGTGCTGAAACTTGCTATATAGATCTGTATGCCTCTGTCTCCAGAGTCCTGGGATTAAAGGCATGCACCACCATACCTGGATCTGGAGTATCTCTTTAGGCTCTCAATAATAGCTTGGAAATCTAATGGTATCTGACTTACCAGTGTCTTCTTTGATAATGTGTTTATTGGTATCAACTGGAAAAACATTTTTATTTATCCCAATATCAGGGATTCTCCTATATTACTTTTTATGTGTGTTATGGTTTGAAATTTTATGTTTGATCTATGTTCGTTTTGAGTTCACTTTTATATATCATCAGTGGCATCCAGTAAAGTCTTTTTTTTTCCTTCTTTTTTGTAGTAATCATATTTTGTAGTAATCTTGACATTTTTCATACAATATATTTTGATCATATATTTTATCATCCTCTAACTCCCCACAGCTTCTCCCTGCTTTCACACCTTTCTGATCTTCGTCTCAAAACAAAAACAAAACAGAAAATGTAAATTAAAACAAACAGAAAACCACAAAGATGAAAATACCAACACAAAACAAAACAAAGCAAGAGGCCCACAAACAAACAAAACCACACAGTGATGTCTGTTTTGTGCTGGCCAGTTATGCCTTGGAATAGGACTGTTTTAGGGTATGGTTAGTATACCACTCCACTGAACAAAACATGTTTTCATTTTCCCAGCAGGCATCAATTGCAGAGAGATTCTTTCACAGGGGTGGGATGCTGTGGCCAGCTCTCCTTCTCAGTGCTGGCACTTTGTTTTGGGTCTGCACAGATCCTATGTGTGCTGCCACAGTCTATGTGAGTTCATACATGTACCAGTCCTGTTGTGTCTAGAAGATACTGTTTCCATGGAGTCAACCACACCTCTGGCTCTAATAATCTTTCAGCCCCCTCTTTGGCATGGATTCCTGAGCTTTGTAGTAAGAGGTACAATGAAGTCATTCCATTTAGGGCTGAGTACTCCAAAATTAATTATTCTTTGTATATTTCTCATTTATGGGTTTCTTGTTAATTGCCATCTACATATAAGAATAAATAAAATTTAAAGACTGATGAAATCAATGACTCGTGAGCCTATAGAAGACTTTGAACTCTTATCATTGATGATGGAAATACAAAATAATACAGCCACTTTGGAAAACAATCTAGCAGTTTTTTGAAAGGTAGATAAATTATATAACTTCTATAGTTTAGCTTGGAACCCCTTGATTATTATCCGAGGAAAATATAAACTCTTTTCCATGCTAAGCAGAACCAAATTATATTATCTAAATATTAAAAATATCACAGATGCCAGGTTCCATCAACAGTTGGAAAGATACACTATTGTTCATACTACTCAACCAAAATAGAGAATTAACTGTTCACACATGCATAACATGAATAAATAGCAAAGTAGTTTTTGCCAGAGGAAGGTGCTACAAACAAAAAGAATATATTTTCTGGGATCCCAATTGGTCTTTAAAAAAAATCTAGATATCACAAACTAAAATTGCTGAGTAGTTAAGCTGTTGCCTGTGAATAGAGAGTTATGAGATGAATATTACCAGAGGATGGGAAAAATGTTTCTTGTCCTGAGTGTGGGCAGTGTACTATATATCAACATGTCTGTCAAATCATATCAAACTATACTCTTTAGTTATGTGCTGTTTGTTGCACACAATTACACCTCAATGAGACAAAAAATAAAAATAAAAAACAGAACTCTCCAGAAGTTTCCTGCCCACTCAAAATAAAATTCAATATTATTTATTTGGGTTGTAATACATTGAAAAATCTTGTCTTCAAGTCTCCTTACCCACCCATTCCCTTTGCATAAATATTATGTTTCTGTTCTTCACTAGAATAACTGTATTCCCATTATATGGCTTCTACTTAGCATTTGATTTTTCATCTGCCTGGAATGTAATTTATTTCCCTGATTCAGTTTCTTTTGCTCTCTTGGGTCACCCAACTTGAAGTGTCTCCTCCCAGCATTCTTATTTTTGATTTTGGTTTTGATTTGTGCAGGTGCATGTATGTGTGCACCCATTTATGAGGCTGCTCATATGTATGGTGAATTCAAGGGGGAGAGGGGTCTGAGAACAACTTCAGGCATCAGTCAGTCTTCAAGAGCCTTAAAGTTTGCTTTGAGACAGGGTTTCTTATTCCCCTGGAATTTATCATGTAGACTAGACTATTTGGTCTGTGAGTTTCCACGGCTCCCCAGTCTCTGTATCACAGCTTGCCAGAACTGGGATTATGGACTCATGCCACTGTACCAGCTTCGTCTGTGTGTGTTCTTGGAATATGAATCCAAATCCTCAGTTTTGCGAGGCAATTGCCTTGTAACTGAGCTATAACATGGGCATCCTGTTTTTCCATCATTGCACTCAGATATGCCATGGAGAATGTTTGGGATTCCATTTATACAAACTGAGATGAGTCTGGATAAATCTCTATCTTAAGAATAGACTACATGTTAGATTCATCTGAATCTTGTGTCCTACGTGTTCTGTGTCATCAGCACTACAGGCCTAGCTTCAGCATCTGAGAACCAACAAGAGCGACATCAATATTGTTTTGGGAGTCATTTGAACTTCCTTGACAAACCATACAAAAGGTTGTTTCTTGGGCCTGGTACTGGGATTTTCATCAGTCTGGTTCCTATTGGGTCTGCTGCACGCTCACTGGCATAACTTTTTAAAGCTACCATCTTAGTTAAGTTTTTATTGCTGTGAAGAAACTCTTATTTTAAAAAAAACATTTCATAGAGGGTGTCTTGCTTACAGTATCAGAGACTCAGTCCATTATCATCATGGTGAGGAGTATGATGGTGGTGTGCAGGCTGACATGCTGGAGCTGAGAGTCCTGCCTTTTTCAGGCAACAGGAAATTGACTGAAACCCTCGGTGATAACCTGAGTATAAGAAATAACAAAGCCTGCCCCCACAGTGACTACTTCCTCCATCAAGGCCATACCCACTCCAAAAAAGCACATAGCTCCTAATAGTGCCACTCCCTATGAGATTATGGGGGCCAATTACATCCAAACTACCCCCCTGGCCTCCATAAGCTTGTAAAAATATCATAATGCAAAATGCATTTAGTATAACTTCAAAAATCCCCATAGTCTTATCACATTCTCAACAATGTTTTAAAATCTAAGCATCAAAGTTTTCTCCGAGATTCATGGAATCTCTTAACTGTAACCACCAGTAAACATCAAAATCAAAAAGCAGATGACATACTTCCAACATATAATGGCACAGGATATATATTGCCATTCGAAAACATGGGGAAGGCAGCATCATGCAGAAATACAAGACAGAAAACCAGTTGGGTGAACTCCAAACTCCGCATCTCTGTGTCTGATGCCAAAACTCTTCAGATCTTCGATTCTTTTCAGCTTCGTTGACTGCAACAAACTTTTCTCTCTTGGGCTATTTCTACTCCCTGTTAGAAGCTTTCCTTGGCAAGTATCCTACTGTTCTGTTATCTCTAATGTCTTGGATTCTCCAAGGCAATCCAGGCTTCAAGTTCCCAACTTCATGCAATGGCCTCTCTACTAGGCCTCCGTTCAAGGACAACCCTGGCTTCAGCAACTTTATTCCACAAGTCCTTTCTCCTTTCCTTAACTCTAAACCAAGAACCACATGGCTGAAGCTGCCAAGTTCTGGTGCTCTCCGAGGCTGGAACATGGCCTCCTCTTCAACTACATCTTCACCAGCTTTCTGTTTTTGATTGTTACCTTTAGTGCCTAAACTTGGCTGTCCTTGAACTTGCTCTGTAGCCCAGGCTGGCCTCATACTCAGGGATCCACCAATGATTGCTGTCCCAGTGCTGGAATTAAAGGTGTACCATACTACACCAAACTCTAAGCTTTTTTAAAATTCCTTTTCACGAGTTGGAAGCTTAGCTGGATGTGATCTTTCCCTGAAGTCACCACTCTCTTTATTCCATTTCTTAATATGCTTATCCCCTTGAACACGGGATTTAGCTCTATTCCATTCCATTTTCTCAATCTGTAAATTTTGTATTTTACCATGCTCACCTTGGTCCTTTTCATTATAAATCTTCATTAGAGTTACCACTAATAACCACACATCAGAATTTATACTAGGCTGTTTTAAAATTTCCTCCAGACAAGTGCAAAAAGCAGCCACTTTCTTCACCAAAATATCACAAGAATGATCTCGAGGCAACACAGTACCTCTTAAGCCAGCCTCCCATTTTTCCCAAGAAGCCTTGTTTGTCTCTCTGATGTTTTGTTTTTAAAGTCCTTTTTTTAAGCTTTTGTTAAGTTTTAAGTGGAAGTTCTTAGGACCCACATTGCAGGTGCCATTTTGTAATAATTAGCTCTCTGGCTTGGCAGGTCCTGCTGCCTTTCACAACCCAAAGAAACATGCGGACGCCATATTAATTATGAAACTGTTGGCCATTGGCTATGGTTTCTTACTGGCTAGCTCCAACTTAATTATGAACACATTTTCTATTAATCTAAGTATTTCCACGTGGTTTTGATTTACCGAGAATGCCAGACCTGCATCTCCTTTGCCTGCTACATCTTTGCAGAGAAGAGAATGATTTCCTGTTTATCCCTCCTTATATTCTGATCTGCCCAGCTACGTCACTTCCTGCCTATCTGTACAAACTTCCACACCTATCTGGTTAGCTAGTGGCTGTATCTGCCATGCTCTTCCTGCCTGGCTAATCAGTGTTTTATTCATTAACCAATAAAAGAGAAATACATACACAGAAGAACATTCCCCATCGTGCGTGCGTGCGTGCGTGCGTGTGTGTGTGTGTGTGTGTGTGTGTGTGTGTGTGTGTGTGTGTGTGTGTGTAATTAATGAGACCTGCCTTTGGAAATAAGCCTGCTGAGTGCTTCTGCTTCTGTTACACATGGGTATTATTTCAGTAACTAATTTCTTTGGTTTGTTTGTTGTTTTGTTTGTTTGTTTTCTGGCCTGTAGCTAGCAGTTAAAAGGGCTGCTGGCTATGGGCAGGTGGTCCCAGTTATGCTCTAGCAATTGCTATGGGGCCCCAGCTTAACCCCAGGTGCCATGAGGAAGGGCGCCAAGAGCTCAAAGGCAGTTCATTAGTAAGTAATTTCTAACTCAGCTCTTAGATGGCATAAATCACAAGGTCTCCTGGGCTCTAGAACTCATGGGACTTGATTCACAGTATTGTGCCTGGAAGGGTAAACTTTCTTTGAATGATTAAGAAGTTTTCTAGACATGTTGGCCGTTTTTCCACAATACTGGGCTCTAGAACAGAAAATGTACTATTTTTATTCCCCTTATGTTTCTGCATTAGTTTCAAGAACTCATTGTACGTTTAATGAAGAACTGTTAATTACGTGAGTAAGGATTGTATTTCTCCTCTCAATTATATCAAGTAATGAGATTAATTAAGAATGGTACAGAGGCCTGCATCTTAGGACATTTACAAACTGTGTTGAATTTAATGAGTTTCAAATCTATTCCATGAAGTCAGAGTTACCAAATTGAATTCTGGATGTGTTTGAAACCTAATCATTTGAGATAAGACCTATGAGGCTTACTTTCCTGATCTGTTTAGGTATGAGCTTCTAGTGCACTTGTAATTACTAGGAATCCTAACTTGGCAACAGCACTGGTACTGATTTTATTTTTAATTTGTCACTTGCAATTGTGACAGAAATTTTTATACATATTTATGTTTCCTGAATATTCTTCCTGGTAATTTACATACATATGTTATCTGAGGGGTTATTGTTGGTCCAACTCCATATTCTTGATTTCACTTGACAGATACATAATTCTGTGTTTAAGATTAAGCATTGTCTATATCTTATAGGTAGATAATTTAAAGCATGGATAGTTTAGAGAACTTGCTCAAGTTCAAATACAGATGTGGAAAAACTAGTGAGACACACGAGGTCTAGAGTACAGACTTATAAAAGGGGGAGGGGTACATGTTTTGTAATCCCAGCACTCAAATAGAAACAGGAAGATCAGAAGTTTAAGTTTATTGGGAAAATGCTTTATTCCCCACCAAGTTTTCAAGACTTTCCCCTAAGCAACCAAGAGTTAATGCCCATAGGTTACTGTGGACCCCAAAGTCCCTGTTATTTGAAACTTATGCTACAAAATTGCCTCGCAGAAAGGAAGAACACTTAGGCCTTTCAAATTCGTACATGCTAAAAGTGCGCCACATTTATTGACTTTGAACATTTTTTTTTAAATAAAGTCCTTTTCTCAGAGATGGGATTTCAGGTAGCCTAGGCTGGCATCAAACCTGATTATGTTTCAGAGGGTGACCTTGAAGGCCTGAACGTCTCTGCTTCCCAGGTGCTAGTTTTATCGCATGCAACACATTGACTGTTGAATTCTCTGCCCAAATAGAAGAAACTATATTTTTAGAGACAGGATTTTTTAAGGACGTTATAATTTCAGGAAGAAATAATCTTGATGAAACAAGCTTTTGTTCCTACAAGATAAATGGTGAAGAACATTTATAAAACCATAAATCTCTCTTTCAGGGATATAAATATTCATGGCAGCAGTAACATTTGGCCACACAAATAAAGCTGGCCTCAGGGTGTAAGAAATAAGTCTGTGTTTGACACAGACAAGCCAGTGGTTAACTCAGACACGGTGGCCCCATAGACTTTGGGAGGCAGTCCTTGCCTTGCCCCAGACAGGATTTGAGGTGATCCCCAAAGGGAACATAAAATCCAGCCAGACAGCACAAATCAGAAGAGGAGACAAGAAGACAAAGCAAAGCAGCCTTCCAGACTCAGAGTGGGGCAGGGACCATGAAATTGCATCCCCACAAGAACCCACAGTGCAAGTCAGCTTCATAGGCTCTAGCTTCCTCACTGCCGGGTAAAACGGAAGGGAAATTTACAGAGACCCTAGCAGCAATAGAAATCTGGAGAAGACGCAGCTACTGAGGTGAAGGGAAACCTGGTGTTCTCCTTCTGGCCTTACACTCTTCCTATCTCCTGCTTTAACCCCAGATCTCTCTATCTCTGAGAGCCTGACTCCATAATTAATAACCACTGAGGAGGAGCTAGAGGAGAGCAACAGAGAAGCAAAAGCTGGCAGACACAAGCAGAAGCAGGTTAATAACCATCGGAGCGCGTGTCAAACACTAACTGTACCATCCACAAGCTAGTCATTGCCAGGGTAAGCAAAGCAAGCCAAAGGAATGAGAGCAGGACAAAATCACCAGAATCACATGTTTGCTACATTGTTGCAGATTCAAGTTTATCAAACACACAAGACTTCTTAATATGAACTCTTAGAAAATGAAATGCTTGTCCTACCACTGAAGCTTTGATGCAGTTGCAGCCCATATGTTGTTAGCATATCTAGTAACAGATTTATGTTGTGAGAAAGGAATGCAGACGTTGTCATGATTTGATAAGAAATCAGACCAAGTGCCTATATCACATGATCCTATTATAAGCAGAGGCACCAAAGACATAGTTAATTTTTTTCTTACTTCTCCCAATTAATATATATTCCCCCAAAAGGTGGAGAGGGAACTACAGACAATTTTATCCATTTGTGGAAGCAGCAACCAGCCAGGAAAAAATATTCCCACTGTTACCATAGTGATCATAAATTATGGAGCCATTCTACCAGAAACCCCATTCACTTGGCAACTGAAGTTTCCTAGTGACAATAAGCCAAGAAAACAGTAATATCAGTTGGATAAAGAGGACCTTGCTAATATAAGACAGAGCAAGATAGGTAGACAAGTGAATGTCTCAGTTGGCTGTGACTCAGGTCACAGGCAGGATAGATGCATGCTTAGGAACATGTCACAGATGTGGCCATTTCTATAAGTAGATGAAAAGAAAAGTTTGTGAAGCTTTTCTTCCACTTACCAAATGGTGTTACCTCAGGGATGTACTCAAGATCCCCCTCTCTCTCCTCTCTCTCTCTCTCCTCTCTCTCTCTCTCTCTCTCTCTTCCTCTTCCTCACTCTCCCTCTCTCTCCCACACCTCTATCTCTCTATCTCTATCTACTTCTCTTTCTGTCTGTCTGTCTCTGTCTTTGTCTATGTTTCTGTCTCCCTGTCTATCTCTCTCTGTCCTGACTCTCTGCATCTCTGTTCATCTGTCTCTTTGCCTGTTGGCCTCTGCCCCTGTGTATGTCTCTCTGTGTTTCTATCTCTCCCTCCCTCTCTGGGAAAGGGAGGGCCACATAAGCTGGTGATATAAGTGATTGCATGGTGCCTTGGGTTCCATCCATGGTACCACAAAATAGTTACATTTTTATGGATCAAATTACAATTCACAAGCACAGATGATAAGTTTCAGACATAGCACCTCAATAGCAATTTATATTTTATACATATAAATGTGACCTACAACAAGAAACTTAAAAGCCTTAAGTGTTTGAGAGTCAACAAAGCAATAATGTGAAGAGAACTTAGGTCAAGATCAAGAAATGTGGATTTCAATTTTAACACTAGTATTTAAAATGAGAGTGGATTGGAGAGAGGTTTTTGCCAGCTTGCACTTGTTTCTAATATACAAAGCAACAGCTTTGAATTTGATCACATGAAATGTTTCCCAGAACTGGAATCAGTGATTCCCTCCTGAGACATTAACCTGAATTTACTTTGGAGAGAAAGGCCACGGGATGCTGTCATTTGAATGCATCTCCCAGGAAGCCTGTGTCAGTGGCTTACTCCCCAGTGTCCTGGCATTAGAAGACAGGGTCTCACTCGAGTTGTTTAAGTCACCTTCCATGAATGGATAGATGCTGGTCACAAAAGAAGCAGCAGGAGCTCTGTCTCACCCCTATGATGCCTACCTCTGTGATGGCACAGCAGGAAGACATCACCAGATGTCACAGCCTTGGTTCTAGAGCTCTCAGCCTCTGGAACTGCGAAAGCATGTACCATCACCAGTCTGTGAAATGAGGTTTGTAGGTCCAGACCTGCCAGAGAATTCTGACTCTCCTGCTTAACATTTCACTTACCTTAGATACCCCTGCCTTCATTTCTTCAGCAGAATGGGGGTAATGATGTGAGCACTATCTAAATAGTTGAGAAAGAAATTCTAACGGATGATTAGCATCTGCCAATAGCTGCTGCCAATAGCAGCTGCCAAGAGAGACACGAGGGTGTGGCAGGAATGAGTATTTGAAAACAGAACAGCAGAGAGAAAGTGGGTCAAGGCCCGCAGAACCTGGATGAAGTGGGGGAAGATGGGAGAACCTCTGTGATGGGGATGCCCTTTCTCTCATTGGTTGACAGATAAAACGCTGATTGGTCAGTAGCCAGGCAGGAAGTATAGGCAGGGATAAACTAGGAGAATGCTGGGGAGAGGACAAAGAGAATGAGGACCAGAGAGGCACCATGTGTCAGAGGAGTAACACACGGGAACATTATGGGTAAGCTACAGCCTTGTAGCAATATGCACTTTAATAGACACGGGTTAATAATTAAGAGAGAGCTAGCCAGTAAGAAGCCTGAGCCATTGACAAAACCAAATGCCTGAGCCTCCGTGTATTTATTTGGGACTGAATGGCTTCAGGACCAGGTGGGAAAGAAACTCTGTCTGCACACTAAGTACAAACCAGCAACCTCCTGTTATTCTTTAATTAGCTCAGATCCAAGAAGCAGAAGGTTTGATAGATCACTTAGTTAAGGATTTGGTTTAAAAATGTTTTAAATGTAAATCATAAAATAAAAGCTATGTCAGGCCGGAGTGATGGCTGGGTGATTGAGAACACTATCCACACAAACATAGGACCTGGGTTTGAGTCCCCACAACCACATGGTGACATACAATTGTCTGTAACTCCAGTTCTAGGGGATTTGACATCCTCTTCTATCCTCTGCAGGCACATGGTACATAGACAAAGCACATGCAGGCAACACACATAAAAATAATGAGAAAAAAAAAGAGTATATACTGGTTTTTCAGAAGACCCAAGTTTGCACAGACTGGGTAACTTGGTCTCTGTAACTCGAGGAGCAGCATCTTGTTCCTTCTTCTGGCCTCCATGGGTATGACCCATGCATATAACCAAAACTGAAAGGCAATCTTCTGTTTAAAAAGCTGCTCTAGACAGCATGAACCACTAAGTCA